ATGAAGTGTTTATAAGAAAAAGTAATCTTTTCTAACCCACATGTTGTCATTTGTTTACAGGGATACATTCTGCAAACTGCAATGAACCAAATATCACTGTTTAACCTTATAAAATTATGGCTTTAAAGTACAGATCATATTCACAAAAACCATTATGCTTTGACAAATCATCGTCACATACTACCACTAAAATCAGATACACTTCTGTGTTAGGAATATAAGAGCCTTATAATCAGCAGGAGCACTGAGGTCAAGACCTTTGCATTTTGGGTGATGTTGGGGTGTTTGTGTGTAACTCAGTCCCTTCAGGACTTCGCTGGCTTTTGTGAGGGGATTGTTGCTATGTGATGAATGTTTAATGTATGTTTTTAGGCATGTTTTGCAATGAAATTGTGGGAGAACGTTTTTTTTGTGTGTAATTCATTAGAAATCGAAGGCAACTTCTTCCAGTGAGAATAAAATCATACTACAAGGTAAATGTGAGACATTCACTTCTCACACATCTGCATGGTCCACATAATAACAACTAGAAACAAGGAAGTGAGTTTGGTGATGTATGGCTCAAGATCTTGTGCAGGAAACTACTATTATTGGTCAAATTTGCGAGAAAGTTGCAATTCATGTGGATTGGTTGAATTTGAGAAAATTGTTGCGATTGCAACTTCCTGCAAGGTTTAGTAACTTTGATGAATTTTGTTTAATATAATAAAATATTTAAAGAAAACAGATTGAATTGATGCAATAACACAAATTACTTCATCATCAGCTTTGTTTTCAGGGCCTTCTTTCTTTTCAATTCCATACTAAAATACCAATTAAAATTTTGTACGGACATTCGTGTTTCCTAGAGGATAAATCCAAATGACTTTTCAGGTCAATATCTTAATTTGTTCATAGGTTTGGTTTATAATAAACACTTTCAAAGCTACATTCCCATCCGCCTTTACTCTGTTTGGGGCTAATTAGCCCATGTGTGCATGCTAAAACACGAAGCCCATATGGCGAACATAACATGGTAATATACCTGTTAAACTCAAACCTCACAGAGGCGCACTGCTGTAGACTTTTGTTAGGAAGGAAGGAAGGTCAATTAATCGTTAGTATAACCATTAGCATAGGTTACTAATTTTTGACCAATCCAGGCAAATAACACTTTATATTCAGAAAATTTGATGAATTTCTTAGACTGGCTTTAGCCTTGAGAGGTGTGCATAAAAATCGTTATCTTAAAAACAAAAGGTGAGATTTAATGTAAATTATTGTTAGTCTTGCTTAGATGTTAGATGTGACATGTTGAATCCAGTTTCATTAAGTCCAACCAGCAACAGTAATCCTCCACAGGCAGAAATTAGATGCAGGTTTTTAACCAATACAGCACATTAATGTGTGAAATCATTACATATGCAGCGAGGTATACTTAAACAGCGTAACAACCATTTACAATTCTGTGTTAGAACCGTACAAACAGCCAGTGGAGCACAGTCACTTCAACCATTATTCACACAAGGTAACACACATTTCAGCACATTCTAAAATACACACACTCATCAACGAGTCTGCCACACATGTGTAAAACACATGTGTGTGATCTTGATGAAGTAATGGTTTATTGCAGGAAATAGACATTTCGATTTGATTTTCTGTTTGTATGGTGTGCTATCTGTACACTTTACTTCATTATTATTATTATTGATCAACTTTGGCTTCTGAATAAATATGAAGATGATTTCAGATGAATAAATCTATATAGAGCTATAGATATAGACTGCTTTTTCAGGTTGCACTCAATTCTATTGATGAGGAAATCCAAGTCTGTTCGGTGTGGCACGTCTGTGGCAATCAGACCACATATTTGGGATATCATCTTTATTCGGAGTGACTTTAAAGCAGGTACTTACATGTTGAATCATCACATTCCCTGAGAAAGTAAATAGATTTTTAAGGAGTGAGTGAAAATGACCAGAGCAGGTTATAAAAACAGAACTGAAAATTGTTTCTGGAAAGTTTGACCACAAGCATCCAAATGGAAATGTCTGCCCGGATGGAATGTACTTCCTGATATAAGCTGCTAAACAATTCAAATATACTTTTTTTACAAGCTGACTTATCTGGTGGCAGGTAAACAAGAAGGTTAAAACAAATGGAGGAGTTCACATTGGTGTCTTTAATAGTCACATAACATATTTGATTAAAGAGGAGAGCTCATAAACAAAACTAATAATTGTAAGAAAGAACGAAAGAACCAGCGACTGTGAGCCATGAAATTGCACAACTTGGCTCTTCACATTGCCTCGATAACCTTTCATTTGGAATAATTAACCCCTATCTCTCCGAACCTCTGTCCTATCCTCCTCCATCGCTCAGTCTTCCTCTTTCATCTTTTCACGCCCTCCTTCCACTGCAATGGTCCAGCAGCTGAGAGAGGAAATTATAACGTTCTCTCTCTTTGTCTCTCTCCCTCTTTCACATATAGCTCTCTCTCTCCTGGCTTCCTGGCACAACTGGTCATGTGTTTGGCTTTTTCTGCTGACATGATTCACAGTAACCACACACACACACACACACACACACACACACACACACACACCACATGGACATACATGCACAAATGCAACACTGACTCATGCTCTGGTTGTCTGGCTCTCTGACTAACCCGGGGGATTGTCTTGTGCATGCGCCAGGTGGTGGGCTATTGTGTGAAAAGCGTGTAACCTTAGCTCATTAGTTGTCTCAAATTGACCAGTTTCTAGGGCAGACTAAACTATAAGATCTACCTACCTATTTAAACTGTCAAGGGCAGACCCTAGAAAGTGATTTACACCAAAATGTCAACAGGTGAGCATGACAGCTCACTCTTGACCTTGGAATTAAAAAAAATAAACGAGAGAAATTTCTCCCATTTTAGCTGAGATTGAAAGGTAAATCTCATCTCAAAATAGATTTAAATGCATAGATTTCATTTTCTCAGTGACCCTAACCCACCTGACAACTAATTTATAAATAATTGTCAATAATTAATGCCTTATTCACACCTTCAAACTAAACTGTAAATGATATATATATATATATATATATATGACACATCGCCCAGACATCATACATCTCTGCTTCAGTCATTCTGCAGCGCTTTGATGGATTCCTTTTTAACACTAGATTAATCCTCAGCTCCTAAATACTCGTCATTCAGATGATGCTTTTTGGTGATGCTGTAAACTGTAAAGAGCTTGTTCTTCACAAGTGGCTGAGGAGTGTCAAAATAACACATCCACGGTTCTTTGTAAACTAGACAAAATGATAGTTGATGATGATCGCCTAACAAAACAAAACAAAAAAAAGCTCAAGTACATTATACCAGCTATTTCTGGGTCGTTTCAGGGAATCCCTCCTGAGCTCTAGCAGAAAATGGGCTGCATATGTAGACTCACTCCTTGGGACTGTGCTGGTGTTTGCATTCCTGTCAGAGAGAGGAGGCTGCAGTCTGGCGCCTGCCTCCTTTGTCCCGCGATATAACTTCAAGGACATCACATCACAGGGGAGCCTGAAGGGAGGCAGCGTGATGTATCACTACAGCAGGCATCAAGCCTATCCCATCTGAGGCGGATGAGAAGCCTCATATTTCACTTCAAAAGCTTAAGTGTCATAACGTTGTTTATTTCCTATATAATGGCTTATGAGTGTGTAAATATATGTGATAGTGCTGTTGTTTTCTTGTCTGACTCTTGAGTGAATTCCCTCGGAAAATTGAATTTCAACAGATATACCTTAAAGTTTATTTATTAATTAATTTAAATATTACACCTCTGCAATAAAAACAGACAAGGAACTAATAACTATTTTATCATTCATCAAGTAGAGGCCAACCCTAACCCTTTTCTAGCATTTAGTGGAGCCTATATGGCACTACACTGTGTTTTCTCTACTTCAAGGGCACCCTAGAGGACATTTCAAATTTTTTACACTTTTGTTTTACACTTAATCATGTTTTTTTTTTGCACGTTACCCTGTTTTATGATGAAAAGATTGACCACTCTCATGTCTGTACGCTAGCTTCCATACAGCAGCATGTAGACGATAGAAAACAGAAAGTTCAAGGCAATGTTTGGAAGCCAGTTTAAAAGAATAGTTTGTCATTTGGGGAAATACACTTCTTGACTTTCTTGTCATGAGTTAGGTGAGAAGACTGACACCACTCTTGTGACTTTCTGACAGATATGAAGCTACCACCAGCAGCTGTTTATCTTAGCATAGCACAAAGACTGGAAACAGGGGAAACACCTGGTTAACCTTGGTCAAAACGAAACACCACCCACCTACCAACACATTTAAAGCTCATTAATGAACACATATTATATCTAGTTTGGCGTTATAATAAATTTGTGAGCTTTACAGATGCTGGTAATCAGATTTTCTTACTTTCAGACAGAGGCAGGCTAGCTGTTTCCCCTAGGTATTTATGATGACCTAAGATAACACATTGACTGTGCTAAAGCTTCATATTTAACTTTAAGCTATTTTAGCCTATATCAAACTTGAAATGGCGATCAATCTTAATTTAACTCGGGGCAAGAAATTGAGTATTATTCCTTTAATAATTAAGTATCATTATAGTCAAAACAAAGCTTCTTTGTATTCTTAAATGTAATTCATTGTTTCCAACCTTACTCTTGCTGTCAAAATGTGAGTTCCTGATTCAAGAAAATGTCAATGTCAACGCCAATTAGCCAAAACAAAAAAGATTATATGGTAAAAAACAAGGTTCCAGTAAAATCTATAAAATAAGTGGATTATTGCTCTGAAATAAAGAAACACGTGAAATGATGTAACCACCTTGTTAAACATATTTTTTTAGTTTCTTTAGCAGTGATTTAATTTGACCATATGGATGTTTTTTCCCCCCCTCTCCAAGTGTGTCCTCCATCTATTTTTTGGCAGGACAGCCTCGCTGTGTCATATTTCTCCTCCTTCCCCATCCTTCCCTCCCTTGGCCGTTCGCAGCTCTCCGCCCATCTGAGTATTGGCAGTGTGAGGCGCACGGCGCGCAGCGTGGACTTGGAGATGTCTTGGCAGCGTTACGCACGACGACACGATAAACGCGAAAGCCTCCTTTAAGAAGGACAGGACACAGTGAAGCTGAACCGGACTGGCGTTCAACTTTTCTGATTTTGGAAAAGCACTTCTTTCGCAGTCTTCCTTTAAGACAGTTTTCTTATCTTTTTCCCTGTCGGTTGATGAGCCTCAGACCTTCCCTTCACAGCAGCAGCGGGTCTGGATGACTTCTCCTATCCTCGGGACACGGTGACTATAGAGGAATGGGGACGATATAAACAGATTGGGGAGAAAAAACTGTACAGAGCAACAGTTTTTTTTTTTTGAGAGATCCCAAAAAGAGAGGATGATCCCACCGGCCAACATGATTCAGGACGAAAGTGGGGGCAAAGAGGACGAACGGGACCAGAATGAGACACCCAAATCCCCGACGGCGAACGCCAGCCAGCAGGAAACCAAGGTAGGAATTGTCCTGTTATTATTTATTATTTACCATCGCCCCGGATAGACGGATATGCTGTGGGATCATACTGTGCATCAGGCCAACTCTTATTAATAGAACAGGGTAAACAAACTTCTATCAACATGACCATAAAATCGACTCAACAGGGATCAGCTCCCAAAAAGAACAACATGTCACTTTTTATCACACACACAGGACACACACTGACCAGCCAGCTTCAACAGTATGTTTTTTTTAATTAAATGTAAGCAGGATACCATACCTGTTACACATAGACTTCAGAAATATATCATCAGCTGGGACAGAAACCACTATCATAACACGTTTAAAGTGCCATTAAGAGCCTCTACAGACTAATTTTTAGTACAGCAGACCACCTCCGTGTGTTGGAATACCATTAGAATAACATCATGATATGGCACCATATAAGAAAACAACCTTTAGATGAAGATGATATTCAGTTCAAACTCACTTTTGAGCACCACACACGCTCTTTAAATGTCCTCTATGACTAGAAATATAGTGTTTTTCTTCAAAATAACCATTTTAAGCTTAACTAATAGGGATTGTGGTATTTAAATTCATTGTTGCTAGGATGGAAGGGCTGATTAAAGCTCTTGATTAGCCTATAAAACAGGTTCACGGTGTGCTGTCGTGATAAAGGAAGTAATCTAGTGTTAATACTATGTGTATATTAATTAACAAGTGGCATATGGGTTTGTGCTTTCTACTTGTGGCTGATGAGGAGGAAAGTAGGCTGTGTGATGGAGATCCACAGCTGCCTCAGGCGTTTTGCCATCTATGTGGGCCACATTTTGCCCGGACTTCTACAATTAGCAGTAAAATATTGGACTAGTCATCACAGTAGTGGATACCTACAGCAGCTGGCCTGTCCAGCCACAAAGCTCCCATACAGGACAGATGAGACTCATTTTATTACCTCTTTTAAATACAGTTTAATGACAGTTTGTGAAGTTAAGGCTGTGTAAGTCAGTGTTTTCAGTCACATCTGGGATGACAGAGGTGCTCTCCTCTGTTGCATCGTGTTTTTATAAGGCTCGAGCATGTGAGCTCTAACTTTGGCACGTTTGGTCACTGGGTCTTTCAAGAGACTCTTGGCTGATTTCTCACATAGTTTCAAAGCTTCTGCCAAACAACCTCACTCACTTCCAATATCTCAGGTGATTAGTAGATGAACGCCTCAGAAAGACATAAAAGTGATTTGGTTTAAATCATTCGTACAGACAGAATAAGTAGACTAAGTTTATTACTATTAAGTAAAGCTTTGTTTGTGTTTTTATTCCTCCTTTAAGAATACTGTGAGGCCTGAACATCACAAGCGCAAGGTGAGCCTCCACTCTTGTGCAAGCTGTAGCTGTACTGCTGATCTTAGTTCATCATAACATAACAGCACACCTGCATGCACATGAAGGTAAAAGTTGTTTCATGTTACAACTTTTACTGCTTTTTACGATCGATCACTTAGTGAAGTTGATGCCACACACGGTTTAAGCCATCATCACCACTATATCTAGAGCTCACGCTTTGTTCTGATGCTGCATCAGTAAGTGTTTTTATTTAGAATGATTTGATATATGATCTTTTGCGATAGCTGACTTTTTTCTTTGTTTGTTTTGCATAACCCAGTCCAGCCCCCCATTAACCCTCCCTGCTTTATGGTAGAACACAGCTCTTTGTGGTGCCATCAAACACAGCATGACCTCCTTGATGCATGCACACATTCCCTCACTTCGCTGATTTAGAGAGATCTTTTTATTTATTCAATATATTGTCTTTTATTTTAAATATATAAAGCCAACCTACAGGAAACAACTGTAGCATCCTTTACCATCACAGCCTTTGTAAATAAGTTCATCATGTGTAGAATTTATAAGAAAAGAATGCTTATTTATATAATGTAGTTATCTAGAACAAACTGCATTGTTGTTATGTTTTATCTCAGTTTTTGTGTGTGTGCATTCCTGTGTGTGTGTGTGTGTGTGTGTGTGTGTGTGTGTGTGTGTGTGTGCATTCCTGTGTGTGGGTGGTAATGGTAGAGAAAGGGTCCAAATTGATTGTTTCCAGAGTGACCCGTAGAATTGATTGATCTTCACCATACCAAAGCTGCAGTGATAAGCTCTCTTAACAGTTTGCTGCTAACAACTGCTAACAATGTATGTATGTTTATACACCTTATTGTATTGTAGTTAAGTCTGGGATTTCATTAGAACATCTTGGCTCAGCTGATGTAAACTGTGTCTGTGCGCGTATTTAATTAGTAGAGGACAGTTCAACCTTGAGCACTCAGCAGAAAAACAGTAACTCCCCACAGCTGTTTACCTGTTTACAGTTACATTTTCAGGCTTGAACTATGTGCTAGGATATCATGGATCATTAGGAGTCCTTCCCTACCCATCAATTACTTAAAAACATAATCTATTTCTTCGATCAGAGGCCTGCAGCCACACATCAGCCAGAAACCAGAACCATAAAATCACATTACTGTAGCTTAGATATTCTTTATTGCGTGTTTGGGCCCAGAATTAAGTGGGTTTCGCAGAGTAGGAAGTACACACTGAGAGGTTAAATGAGGAGTTGTCAGTGTGGAGTGTTATGAATAGCGTTACTGTAAAAGAGGAGACTAATGAGATTGATAGAAGATGTGGCCAGAAATGGCAGCACAGCGTGTGAGAAATAGTGTTGATGTGATGCATAGCTCTAACCAAGAAATCACATTACCTTCCAGGTAGGGAACCTCGAAGGTTTTCCACTGAGCAATCATAAGTCGCCCCTAGCAGTGGTCCTTTTCATCAGCCATGGAGCACTGAGACATTTGCCTGAAGGTTTTAGAGACTAAGCTTGTAATTTATTTAGGTTATAACAGGAATTGATTTACTTCACATCTAACTCAGTTGCTCTGAATTTTTCTCTCTCCTCTCTCTCGTCTTTCTATTCCTTCCCTCCCTCGCTCCATTTTCCTTCAACTCTCCCTCAACTGTCTCTCTTTTCAGCTGCAGAGACTCAAGCGCTCTTTGTCCTTCAAGACCAAGAGCATTCGCAGCAAGAGCGCAGACAACTTTTTCCGAACAAGCAGCGACAACAAGACAGAACTGCTCTCTGACGTGAGCAGCAGCACGGGCCATCTCTGCAACATCGGGATGGCCCCACCGCACACCACCAACCTCCCCATCCCTCCGGTCCCTCCAGCCATCCCCTGCGCTCCTCCCCCCACATCGCGCTCCCAGTCTCGCAACCCACTGCAGGTAGACTCAGCAGGACACTGCTTCATGGAGCACATCTTCAAGAAGCCCACATTCTGTGACGTCTGCAACCACATGATCGTAGGTATGGTTAGAATCCCGACCTCCTTTATTAGTGTGAGCAGAATATCAAAGAAAGCACGGTGACAAGATCATGGCAGAAAGCAACATTTGAAAGATCCTGCGCACCATCTAATGAACTTTGCAATCACAAGATTGACAATAACCTTTTCATAATGAGACATTCATCAGCTTTTCTTCTAAAGTAAAACTGAAAGTTGAAATAAGAGAGTAATAAATATGCAATAATATGCACAGAGACAGCAGGATCTCAGAGGTTATAGTCTCTTAAAGCGCCTGCCTTAATTTTCATATTCTAAATACTGTTTTTATCCAGTGAGAATGAACGCACAAGCCCCGTGTACTAAAACACACTCAGACCGTAAGGCACCTGGAACTGAGCATCCAGCTTGACCTGCTGACATGTGACCAACATATCTCCATCCTCCTTTTTTTGCACACTGAGCCACTTCCATCCATCCAACTGCTGGGGTGTCAGAGAGCCAACAACAGCTGTGCCAGCTTCTCTACCTGTTCTCCCCTCACCAGATGTTCCGGTTTCTCCTCCTTGTTAACCATCAGTACTGCAGGACCACTAAGTCTTTATAGCTCAGGGCCTCTGCCGCATGATAATGACAAGGGCTGCCCATACCATCTGCTCAACAGGCCCCCGATATCAAATTTGGTAGCAGATAAAAGCCATCAAACAGATAGGTGGGTTCAAATATGTGCATGTAAATGTGCATATATATACTGGAATGATACCAGTAATATATCAGTTTACCAACCCTGTTGGTTTTCTTTTGTATAATTGAAAGACACTGGACATTTTGTCCTTCATTCAGTCTCCTTGGCTTGGGATTTTTCCTTCTTTTAAACTTCTTAAAAGCAAAATCAAACGACCCTTTAAGTTAAAGTTTTTAGTTTGGAGATTGAGTTGAGGCATGAAATAAAAAGGGCTTTCCTAACAGTCAACTGTTAAATAATATTAGCTGTTAATAGTTATAATTAGGATTTTGAGTATTGTAGGTAGTTTAACCAATCAGCATATCAATGCATAAAAGCAGCTATGATAAATAATGTTTATTAGCAATGTATGAAATGAATGTCTAATGTGAAATGCGTCGCTTATAGTGAGATTTTTCACCTAAAATGTTTTGTTTTTTACGCAACTTTATTATTTTGGTTCACTCTGACTGCTCTCATCGGCATGCTCAGCATCGAACAACAAAATAGCAACTAGCTGTTGAACAAAAGAGCAAGATATTTCCCTCCCTTGGTGGAGACCAAAATAGAGGTAAAAGGAAAGAGACTAACAGTCACGACTCTAAATGAATGATAATGTTGCTCCGTAACTGCTAAGCAACTGTTTGCTAACCAATTTACCATGTGAACTTAAAAGGTATATTTCATTAATGTGTTTACAGCTGGTTTCTGCTGCCTCCAAGTGAAAAAAAAACCCCACAGGTTTAATGTTAGTTATCCCTGTACACTTAAAAGTTTACAGTGTTCTTAAGCAGCTAAACAAAGATGTTACCACAGGCATCTATGTCTCCCCCACCTCTGTAGTGTAAATTCACAGAGGTCTTCAGAGGCTTTTTCACCCTGACTAGCATAACATTCTTGAAGAAACTCAAGAATATTTGACATTTCTGTCATGAACATGGTCACCAACAAATCTATTTTCTATCAGCAGTTATGGTCATCAAAAGGCCACTCTGGCTTTGAATGTATGACTGCGTTTATTCCACCATAAAACACATTTATACATTTTTACGACCATTGTTGCTCACACTGGTCTGTTTTATGTGGCATGGCCATTGAGGCGCGTCCATTGGCTGAACCTTTGAATGAGCCTCTGGTGGTCTGTTAATAATGAAAGTGTGATGTCAGGCCTGCCTGGTCCTGTGATAGGTGCTGAGCCCTCTGGTTCACTCATGAAAAAAGATGCTGCCCTCTTCTTCATTTGTCCTGCTTTAATGAGAACACATTGTAGTCAGCAGTGGAGAGAGAGAGTGGTTTTCTCTCTCTCTCTGTGTGTGTGTGTGTGTGTGTGTGTGTGTGTGTGTGTATAATAAGCTGCGATGCTGCTGTCAAAGTCTGACTCAGTGTCACAGAGTCAAAGAGCAGCACGCAGGAGAGAGAAAGAGAGAGAGAGAGAGAGAGAGAGAGAGAGAGAGAGAGAGAGAGAGAGAGAGATAGAGAGAGACGGTGGTGGAGAGGACTCATACTGATAGAACAAGCATGCTGTCATTATTAAATCCTAATGGCCATTCATTACAAATTGCTACAAATTAATGAAGTTAAAATAGGGCAGTAATTGTTTATCTGTAATCTGTTTGCTAATGCTGAGTTATTGATTGCAGGTCCTTGCTGCAAATGGCTTATTAAATGAATGTCTACATGAGTGAATGGGAGGGTTATTTGTGTCTGGCAGAGGGTGAAATATAATTTACAGGGAAGGCTTGAAAAAATAAAATATTCACAGCTTTTAGGTTGTGAACTTATGTAACAAATTCCACACAAAGAGTTTGAAGGATTTGACTTAGACTTTAGACAGTAAATACATACATACTATATGAAGGATATATGCAGATAGGCAAACTCTGAAATTTAAGATACTATTACAAAATTTCACTGTCAGTCATTAAACGCTGATATCCTTCAACAACCTCCAGGGGTTAGACAGTACTTTACTTTCAAGATCCCTCAAACGCCTCAAATCAAGGCATCCAAAGTCCTGGATTAATTAATAAGACAAGTTGATTTTAACCACGAATGAGACAGTAATCTGACTTAATCAAAATGCACTAATCTGAGCTATAAAATCCCTGAGACGAACATGACAGGTTTGGTTGCCCTCAAAGAGAAGTTAATCTGTGAGTAAGAGGTCAAAGTTGGATAGTGGGCCGAGGCTTTGCTACTACTCCATTAACACGTAGACATGATGCACAAGCGTGTAAGAGGTGTATTCTACTGGGCAGCAGCAGTGTTTTCTCTCATTCTGTCACATAAGATATACCAGCCATGTATGGTGACGACCTTGCACCTCCACTGATACTGCATGAATCCATTTTAGAGTTACAATTGGCATCTGACACATGTCTCGAAAATGTCTCTCACATCAGTTCTCCGCCAAAAAAATGCATTATAAAATGTCAAACTGCATGGGCGCCAGTGGGGGAAATGTCAAATAACAAAAGTCAGTTCATGAAAAGTTTAAAGAAAGTGCCATTTTTGGAGATGTGCTGACATATTGGAGTTTAAACCTTGACGCAAGCCACAGGTATCTATTTTTAGTCATGCTAGCGACATTTAGTGATTGCAAAGTTGCTGTGTTGGTCGGTACGCCACTGTGGTCCAGACTGAAATATCTCAACAAATATTGGATGGATTGTCAGAATTTAGATAACCTGACTGACCTGACAATCAGCTCAGCAATCCATATAATGTAGTCAAACTCTTAACTTTGGTGAATACCTGACTTTTATTTTATTTTTTATTTTATGTAGCGCTGTCATCCTCTCAAAATATAATCAGCTTGAGCTGTCCTTTGTGTTTATTGCTAATTAGCACATGTTTGCATGCTTAAATATTAGATGGTAAACATTATATTTGCAAAACATCCGCTTGTAGTCATCGTGAAAATGCAAGGAAAGTACAGCCTCACAGAAACGGTAGCATGGTTGTAGACGCTTGTCTAGTTCAGATTTGTCTTGTTTTAAGGAAAATGTAATTTCAAATCTACACTGACAATAAAACATATACATACACATAACACATATTGTACCATTTAACAGAGAACATAGAAATTGTTGGGCCATCTCTGCAGGCTGCGTGACACTCCTCGTTGCCCTCAAGTGAATTTAATTTCTAAAAACAGTTAATGTTACCTCTGTAAGACTTGGTATCACAGATGGATACATCAAAAAAAGCAATACTCCACTTATAACACAAATCAAACACTTAAGGCCTTATTTCCTTAATTCTCCAGATGGGGAAATTGGTTTTTCACTGGCAAAAAAAATCAAATGGCTGTGGGAGAAGCTAATTAAACTTTATAAACCAAAGAATGCTTCTCAGGTCAGTGTTTTGGAGGAGCTTAAGAAGAAGGAGGTGGAGGAGTTATTGTCACGAGGAAGGTTATTTGCACAGGAAATCAGGAGGCGTGAAGTAAGAACGGTGGCTTAAAGGATCAATGCGAGGCTATTGTAAGAAGAGTGCGCAGCGTGAGAGAGACACTGCAGGGAAGAAGAGTGGGAAATTGAGGGAGAAAGATTGTGTGGGAAAAAATAAGAGGCAAGGTCTTGTCCTTTACTGTAGCGTATATGAATAATGGGCTTTAAAGGCAGACTAGCCAAAAATGAGCAAATGCCAGAGAGCACCACTGTCACTCACTTTCCCCCACAGCTGGATCGGAGGAAAAAGCACCTAAATGCACACACACACACTAACATTACCCAGCCATTACTAAAGGAAGACGACAGTGGTTTGTTCCCCTTTTAGCTGTTACGAGTTACCGTGGAAGCGGCTCATTATTCCCCCGTGTTGGAATGAGTCCGCTCAAACAAGCCAATCAACAACAGCTTGACATTTGCTTCCTGCTCCTGCGCATTTTGGAGATAGGGACAAGAGCTCGAGTCAGACTGTTTTAAACATACTGCAGAGAAATAGTTTGCTGACCTGGAGGAGATTGAAACTCCAAGTGCTCGTTAAACAACATCATTAGTTGACCTGATTTAGAGTGACCTAAAAATTGATGCGAGCAGTGCTCATTGCCTCTCCTGCCAATGTTGTTGTGTTGATCTGTGGCTGACCGATGAGGGTTCAGGCCCGGGATCACATTTCTCTCGGTTTCCGTCTCAGGTTAACTAACTCCAGCTCCAGCTCTGTCAGTCAGGCTCAGCCACACAACACAAGAGCTTTAAATGGGGAAAACAGATCCAGTTTTCCACCCATTACTGAGTTTCAAGTGCCTGTCACTGCTGCCCAGCTCCAGGTAGCCGTGACACCAGTTCACATTACAGCATGTGAAGAGCAAGCAGAGATTTTTTTCCCCCTCCTGTTGGCTGAGTAAACTACAGATGAGGGGCTTTGTACCTGAAGTACACTGTGTCCTGTGTTTGCTGTCTTGTTCGGGGATCAGGTGTTCTGCTTGGTTTCACATTTACAGTACAGTGTTACTTCTGCTTACTGAACCTCTTCAACCTGCTCATCAATCTGAATATACTGCATTTTTTAGGATAATCTGGACTGAAATTATGACATTATTTACTTGCCACACTGCTCATTTACAATGCACAAAAAAAAAAAAACAACCATGAACAAAAACATGCCAATCTTTCAGAGATGAAACCAATGTTAAACTGTATTCTCCCTGCACTCCCAACGCCCACTGAAGTACATCAATGAATCCTTTGCATGTCCATACTTTCACATGCAGAGTGTGGGCCAGAGTTGGGCACGTGCTCATTGATTAATCAATAAAGAGCCAGAAGTGCACAGCTGCCAGACTACAACTACTGGGACTTTGTAACACTGTCCTTTCTTGTTAATGTGAAGTGGCTGTTGTTAATGATACAGCACTGCTGGCTGCAAGTGGTGCCAAATTCAATTGTTTTCATGCAGAATATTTAGTTAATATTTGATGTTTGAATTCTGGCCACGTCACTCCCTCCAAGCATACACTTGGAGAGACTTGCAGAGCAGAGACTGGGGAGAGATGATAGCTTACTCCCCGAGGCTCAAACTCCACAGGTGGATGCTGGGGCTTATGAAATGTTATATGAACCATTTTTTTTTTCCCTTGGCAGGAATATGGTCTGTGACGCTTAAAGGTCTAGACAGTAATATCAGGATCTTTTAAATCTTTAAAAGGTAGAAAATCTGGATTACCCTGGTACCAAGGCTGCAGTGGCCATGGTCAAATGTCAAATTAAAGCAGAAAAGCTCTTTTTAAACCTTAACTTTTACAAATAGGGCAGCTTGAGCTATTTGCCTTTTAGTCTCTAGTGAATTGTTGATTATCAATTACAAGTGTATAAGTTCACTAGTGAACATGTCAATACACTCCTCTTGCACATACCTGCCCATTCATCTCTTGCCCTGTAAATTTACTGCTGTCCGTCATACAAACACACACAGTGACAATGCCACAGCTCAGTTATCTTCATTAAAGACTGAGCTGCAATGATACAATCTGTTGTTGTTGCCATGTGGCTTTGGTCTCTGCCTCTCTACCTTTCTTTACACAATCTCACGTTTCTGCCCTGAACAAGACTATCTTTCTCATTTTTGCTTCATCATCTATCACTCTGTCCATATTCATTTGTTACTCTCTCACACACCTCTATGCACAAATGCACACACACACACGTTGAATGTTTCCAGTTGCAATGGTGCGTAACTTTGGTTCACAAATAAATCAGATTAATCGTCATCTATTCCAGCAACTGTGAGTCACATGTTAAAAAGTGAGGGTGAGCTGCACACAGGCAGCAGTTTGAAATGGTTTCACATGGTGGAGATAGCACTGGCTCAGTTACAGTCAGTTTGGTTAAAATGGTTTTGCAGAAGTGCACATCATGTGTTGAATTTGCTAAATGTTGTCCCTGTTAAAATGTTCCACATGTCATTTCACAGGTTTTTCCCAGTGTATGCCGGGACAGTCTCCAGAAACTCTGGCTAGGAATAAGTGTGTAAAGACAATGAATAAATGAATGAGACGGCATTCTGAACAATATTTTCCATTACCTTTGCCTTTTTGTCTGTGATTTGCTGTTCACTTAGGAGCACCACTCATGCCAATTCAGGTTCTTGACATGATCGATCTGAACCTGTTGCCTCTTTTCCATGTGTGTATCAGGTACAACAGCCAAGCATGTGGTGTTCTTGGCGGGAAACACGGCAAAGCACGGGCTCCGTTGCAAAGCCTGCAAAATGAGCCTTCACCACAAATGTGAGAATGGAGTGGGACAGCAGCGCTGCATGGGCAAACTGGTAAGATGCATGACACAGAATAATACAAGACATGATATAGACCGTGCATTTGTCTCTTTGCTGTCCACAGTTTGGGAGATTCTGAGCTTCAGGAATATAATTACTGATGTCATTAGCAACCAAAACAGACATATTAGAGTTGGCTTTGTGACCGTTTCCCACCAGAATGTGCTTATTCAGAAATCACACTCAATGTGTGAGTGTGCTGGTACATCTGTGACCACCATGCATCCTCGTCATCGCCCTCATCATCGTTATATCATCACTCTGTCTGTCTGTGTGTTAGATAATAGTAATGCAAAAATGCTGACCCCTCCTCATCGCTGTCAAGTTCTGCTGTGCTGCCATCAGCATAAACCATTAAATCAGGATCAATACAATACAGGCTGCTTCATGACCAATATTGAAGATGTCACACGTAACAGTTTTATGATGTGTTTGGCATTTCACAGTCTCAGACCTGATGTCCCTTTTTTAATATGTTATGCTAGCTTTGGTCACTTGTGAAATTAGGGGGCGTAAAATAATATTTGGAATAATTAGCACATCATTAATTATTCAAATTTCAACTCTACTCTCGCTACTTATCAGTAGCAGAGGCAATGAGAACGTGAAAACTTTTCGGTATCACAAAAATTCGAAAGTTGGAAATATTGATCAGTGATAATTATAATGAATAAATAATACTCTGGCCCCAATACGCTGCTATTGCCAGCAGTCTGTTTATGTTTTCATTTAACTTCAGTTTCTGGGGTTTAAGACAGCTATAAATACTTTTAGTTTATTTAAGGCATACTGAACCTTTTAAAATTGAGAAGATTCTTCAACCTTTTAGGCTTATTAACCTTTACAAACTTTAAAAAAAAAGACTGGAAGGTCAAAAGCTGAAAATAAAAGGTTTATGTAATATCATTCCTATTTTCCTGTAATTTCATATAACTATCTGAAGTCTATGAAATGCATCTGTGCAGTTTTGTTTGGCAACAAATCCATAAGATGCTTTAATTTCAGCAATTTACTTCCCTGTGTTGTTTCATAAAAGTTGTTTTTCTGCTAATGAGCTCTGAATGGGATCCATAACTGAGCCAAAAAGCCAAAGCTGATTGGTCGATTCCAAATGTGCTTACGTGTCGACATAGAAAACTGCCTTATTGAGTAGGGAATTTATTTAATATCTGGTACAAAGTCAGTTTTTCACTGTTATTACCTCTCAAGCCAGAAATGATGACCCTGTACTGTAATAAACCCCTCAACTTTAAATAAACTGACGATAACAAGTGTTGCTCTTGATGTCGTCATTGTACGTTGTTTCCCTGGCTCTATGGGAGCCTGTCTGGCTTGTTCTCATTATTGGGTGATGATAATTGAGATCAGGGGCAATAATGTGATTCACAATCATCATAGGCCCTCATCATCTGTGGACCTGCGTTATAACGAGACCATTTGGTTGGGGAGCAGGGGCGGGCTGAGTGTTTTTACTGGGGAGGGTTCAGTTACACCAGAGAGAGCCAGCGCCAAGAAACGTTTTCACTTCCACTGGCAGTCAAGACTGAACCAGGACCTCTCTTTTTTTTTTCATTCACACACCTCCCACACGGAAGAGAGAGAGACTATAGCTCCGTCAGGTCATATTATGTGTGATTTTCTACCTTTCCTACCTCGTTCCTCCACATTATTTGACAATACCTCCCTTGAGAAGATTTGGCTGGAGTTAGTTGAGGAAATTTGGAATAAGCTGAAGTTGAATTAATCAGCAAGAATAAAGTGAATAGATGTCATGTGGAGATGATATGGAAGTAACACTGACAGCACAGGCAGCCTTTCTTCTTTCCCGTTGTGATATCTTTCCACGAGAGGCCTGAGGGATGAGGCCTGAAGATATGATCGGCTCTCAGGATTGGAAAATGAGGTTGAGAGGTCAGGCATAAAAAGGGAAGTTTCCCCAGTGGAGTACAGCTCTAAATTCGACTTACTCTAAACTTGGACACATCTGCAGCCATGCTTGTTTCTCTTGGCTTGAGAACCTTTTAGCAAAGAAATCAAGTTACCTCATGCTCTGAATCTTCATAAAGCATGAAACCAGTGTATCGCCATCTGTTCATTGAGTTTCTGAACTTAGTGAAGCAGTTACAATCAATTCAAAACAAATGTATGGTATTTAACATGTAGGCCTTTGTGAATCATCTATTTACTTCACTTAGAAGTACAGCTGTACTACTGTTGGTCACTTCGCCAACCAAGGCTGAACCCCCACTAGAGAAGATTTGATTTGTCCTCTCCTGACACACAGTTTTTGTTACGATTTAGTCTTGACAGCTCCCGTCCAGTTGGAGTTTCTGGGCGACCCGCCAATTCAGATCAAATATGATTAATAATCAATATGTGTCAGTTAATTTGAGTCACTGCTTGAAACTGAGCTCTCAGTCGGTAACCAGTGGGAGCTGAGCCCTACTACAGTGCTCACACTACACATTGCACAAGATCTGCGGCAATGACACAATTCAAAAAGTAGTTTCACTGATTCAGATCATTACTTGTGATAAATGACGTGATTCACATTATTCCGTTTTTTATGAATAATGTTCAATGTACAATCATGCTCACACAAACAATAGCAGGTGTCCTTTATAACACTGACAAACTTAAACTCCTCTAGGTCAAAACACAAACAGTTGTTCAAAACAAGAATGCAGCCTGGAGTTCGGCACGTTTCTGAAGTCTCTTATTATTATGACTCTTTATTACAGTGTGTGATTCAGAGACTGACAGTAAACATTCACCATAGGGTTCTTCCCCAGTATTTAGACTTAGAGTGATTATAGTTCTAAGTAAAGTAAATGCTGTTATTTATGAACAATATTAATAGTTACTAATTTCCCAGTTAACAAAGAGTTATGTACCCATAATCATGGCAGATAAATATAGATGTATAAATACATCAGCATCCTCAATTTCTTTACTGTATGTCAGGACAAACTCAAAAATCATGAAGCTCACTAATTAAATTATTTGTACGGATGTTTCAGGCTGATAACAGTGAGTTTTAGTGTACTTAGTTGCAACATTGCATTGTGCTGAGGAATTGTGTCTCAATGAAGCATGCATGAATGCATATTTTGAAATAAATATTTTCAACAGTTGTTTATCTATAGTACTTAGCTTTCCCTTATATTTTCTACATCTGTAATCACTGCTGTCTCAACATCAGTGGAGTAAATGAAGTCACTGACACCAACAGTGAGTGGTGTCTTTTGTTTGTAGCCAAATGAAGGCTTTCAACAAGTTTTCTCTTTCAACCTTTTCTTTAATGAGTTTGCTCCCTGAAAGTCTCAATTATTGAGTTATTGAGATGGGCTTGAAGAGCTCAAGGGTTGCTTATTTTAGCCGTCTCATCATGCGAAGTGTCAACTGAAGAATTAATCAGGACTGATTTGAAATGCAGATTTCACCACCTGCCACTTGAATACATGAAATGTAAACAAACAGAAAAAAGGCAGTCCCATGAGCAGTAGGTCTCCTACACCGATCCTCATATTCAGCAAAGAATTGAGGTTGTGGTAATCAAGGAACGTTAAGCTTATCAAAAAACACAGTATGCTATCACTGAATGGATGAAACTTTATCCAGGACATCTTCCAGAAATCAAAACTGCAAAAAATTGAAGATTTATACATTAATCATCACCCAGTGTGCTGCAGGGATCGAGGAGAATTTCAATCTCCTGTCTTTCTTCTATACTTAAGAAGGATTCAGAAGTAATGTGGAAGTATTGATCACGACAGGACGCAGGTATGTAATGGATGTATAAATGATAAATGCTGGAGGGCTTTGGGAGATGGGAGACATGACAGGCAGATAAATTAAGACCATAACTTTAGGACCAGTATTTCTCTTGTCAGTTTCATGGCAGTGGACCACCTCAACCACACTCCTGCATGTTGCGCTTTTAACTCTGTATGAAACAAATCAACTATTCATTCATGACTTTCATGCACAATTTAGAACTGCAGTCATTAATATTTTTTCATTCAAATAATAATGTCCTGAAAGTCATTTAAATTGAGTGGAACTAATGTTGCGCCTCACCCGCGGGGTAGTGGGGTGTTGAGTGAGGACTCGGTCTGACGTAATTTTGTAAACAGTAACAGCCCTTTCAGCATCTGTGTGCCACTCCACCCTCTGTCTGTTTCTCTTTCTCTCTGACTTTCCATCTATTAGTGTCATTATATTACATGATACAGCATTTTTTGCTGTCTTCCTCCAGTCATTTTGTCCATTGTAGAATAGTAGATGTGGATTAGTACTTGGATGGCGTTTTATGTTGAGGTTTCCTGTCACTTAATGTAACAGGTTGCATAATGCATACCACCAGTTAGTAATATTTTGCTCTAATTGTTCAGTAACCACTCCCTATGAGCAGATACTAGATATAGTATCTAGATATATAATATTCTGGTTTAATTTCGGGTTTGTACACTTCACATCTTGTTGAATTAAGACAGAAGGCCGAAGTTGTGTTCACAGGCCACAAGTGGCACAGTGCTTATTAGTATTTTACTCGTATAATAATTAATGCAGTTAACATTTGCATTACTGACAGGTTGTTACCAAACTTTGTCCATAAAGGTCAATAATACTGTATATTTACCTGTTTTTATGTTCTCAAATAAAAACCAAAATTTTTTGTTTTATAGTATTTTACAATTAAACTTTAATTTGTAAAATGTTTCATTCACTCAATAAGTAATTATTTTAGTATTCATTCCCACATTTCTTTTCTATATATACCTCTTATAGTTGTGTGTAATGAATTACACTTTCAGTTACCTGTCGCCTATAGCTGATCCGCAACAGATTTGTGATAAAAAGTTATACGTTTTTGTTAATGATTAGTTCATCATTAATTAATTAATTAACTGTTGAGAATTCTCGCATCAAATTGTTCTTGTAATTTTCAGCAACATCAATCAGCAATCATAAAACCTCACGTTAAATTCAGAATAAATTGAATTCTTGACTTTATTCAGGCTGCTGACATCCAGTGTGGCAGAACTTTATCTCTGAAAATTCAGTTGTGCTCAGAAACGTCCGAGTACGCAGAGTTATGTGCAGTTTTTCAGTGTCAGGCTGTTGCCTGTGGTGCTGCATATCGATTTGTCCCTAATGTCTGTCTCCTCTCTCTTTTTTCCCTCTCTGTCTCTCCCTAGCCAAAAGGCTTTCGGCGATACTACAGCTCTCCATTACTGATCCAGGAACAGTATGGCTGCATCAAAGAAGTCATGCCTATTGGTGAGCAGCTTAAATAACTTCAGTTCTGAGTGGGATGGGAAACTGAACTCCACTCCTCCAGAACCATTTTTCCACTTGAGCTGTTATATCATATAAGATTCACCTACATGGTTTTATAGTATAGTAAACCACTACATTGCTGTCCTGAAAGTTTAACGTTGCTTTGTATCAGCTTTTATCGTGTCTTAATTATTTTCTAAAGCCTGTGGCAATAAGGTGGACCCAGTGTATGAAGCCTTGAGGTTTGGGACGTCGTTGGCACAGAAGGCCAAGAGGGCCAGCGGCTCTGAGTCTCCACACAGAAACTCGGTAAGAAAGGGATCATTCATCATGTCGGGTAGTGTTTGTTTTTACCCTGTGAACACTAAATACTGTCACTGTCTTTGTTTAAATCCAAACACAGATATACTGTATACATAGAAAGTTGTTTTCAGTTTTATGTCTCCTACTTCACATCTCTTTGTGAAGCTATAATGAACATACAGACACATTAAGACATGTAGATTATCGCAGTTCTGTATTATACTTGTTATATTTTGTCGCACTACAACAGACATACTGTAGCTGATGGTCTAAATAGATACTGCCACTGCAGGGCTGTAAACACTACCAATAAAGGCAGTCTGGTCCAGGCAGTGATGAAGGGAAATGTCGGTGCAAATGCTCATGTTACAGCTCTGAAGATGGTCTGAACTGATTGTAGAGCTACTCTCTCCGGCCTCCTTTCCATCTGTGTGTGTAATACACAAGGAAATCTGTCTTTCATAGCTTATCACTTCTAATGTAAGCTAAACTGTATGGGCAGTCTGGATACATGCCTCCCTATGATGACATCTGAGAGCTGTTGGGTTTGGGCCATCCTGTCCTGTGCAGCTGTTTGTGAATGGGTGTGTGTGTGTCGGTGGAGGCTTACAAGAGACAATGTGATCTCAACAGGGGTTATGATAATAGTTTCCAAATGCAGACTTAGAAACAGCATGTTTGCTACACTAAAGTCTTCTCCAGAATAGCTGGTTAGTCTGTGAAAGCAGATACATTTTTGCTAGTTTTGTGCCCAGAAACGCAAAGAATCTGTCTCTATACTTCTGACCCTGTCTTTATCTATCATTATGTACCTAATCTGTCTTATCTGTTCTATCTTATCTCTGCAGACCAGTGACTTGGATAAAGTTCCAGAGGAAGTGGTGGCTCACAGCAGTAGGCAGGAGCTGTCGAGAAAACACAGTGATGATGGTGAGTATCCATTGCGGTACACTGTGTGCATCTGGAGCAAAGCCATGCAGTGACACAAGGAAAAAACACACTGCTTTTGCTCTTCCCACAAGAGAGTCTGAGAAGGTTGCAACATCGAATTCTCCTTCTATGAACCATCAAATAAAAGGGCCTTGCTGTTTTCCACTGAACTGAACTCGCTCTTCTTGCCTTGTGTGCCTGATATGCTCACTCTGACCATGCTATAGATTTATATATTCTGTAGGAAAAAAAGCCTACAGAAATGTTTGGACTTCTCTTTTTTATCTGCACTGTGTGTTGCTCTTGATTTAGTGGTCAGTGGGTATTTCAGCAGCACAATAGTCTCTGTAATGAAGGGCAAGGCACTGACCCTTCACAATATGGAGCATTCATTCTGAGCCATGAAGACAGAACTACAAAGAGGTAGTCCTCGGCGTTGGAAAATGTTACTTGAAGTGTGGCTACATTGCTGCTGGACTGTTTGCTGTAGAGAATAACACCCAACAAAAGAAGAAATGAATTGTGACCTCATGCCATATGTCGGCCACAAAAGTACTTGTTTCTCACAAGGACTTGGGTTAATGCATAGAAGACACTATACTACTGTCTATAATGTTACTAACGTGATTTAAGGCCACCTTTAGGACAATGTTTCCAATTGCAAACAAAATATATCATAATTCATTGCTATAATGCTGAGCACATTCAAGCTCTTAAAGAACCTTTTTGATTTCACAGTAATTACCCCACTCGCTACTCACAGGACAAATTATTTTTTACAGTTCTAAAAATAACAAAGATAACAGTATGTTTTTTATGTGTCTAACATGTAATCTAATAAACATTGCAGCTTTTCCTAGCGATTTAGACTTTATTCTTGTTTACTGAAATGGTTGTTGAGTAATTTATTTATTTTAATTTTATTTTATTCCAGTTTTCACAGTCATTGAGAACGGGACAGAGCACTACCACCAGCCGGAGAGAAAACCTGACGATTTGCCGGTAAGAAATTAATCCTATGTAATACATCTAATGCTGACACTTGTGTGTGTGCCTCTAACATACTCCTGCATGTTAGGAAATTGGTCTGAATTGAATTGAATTGAGAGGAAATGAGAATAATTCAAAGTTCTCTTCTTTTTGGTAATATTTATGTATATCTATCTATCTATCTATCTATCTATCTATCTATCTATCTATCTATCTATCTATCTATCTATCTATCTATCTATCTATCTATCTATCTATCTATCTATCTATCTCTTTTTATTACCCCACAAGTGCTACAATAGGCCTTTTACAGTAAGATATCCATTCTAGTGAAGGACCCCTCTCACATGCACATACACAGTAATTGGCCATTATTTGGTGAAAATCTGATTTTTTTAAGTTATTCCAGCAGTTGTAGTTAAGGTTGTACAATTCATTTTTACCCACAAAAAGAGACTTCAGTTTATGTCAAACACAAACATCAGCAGATTTTGAGGTCAGTATTTCACAGACAAAGACGAGTAAACTGAATGTACTGTTTTAGAGGAATGGCAAACTGTCTTTTCAGCATTTTTGCAAATCATCAACTCTGGTTGTCAACTTTTCTCCTCAGTTTTCACAGTGATTGTAATGCTGCACTTCCTACAGTAATGTGTATTATTGGTGCAGTCTAAAACAGTCTGAAACTTCTGAGAACTGACTTTGCTCACTGACCAATGCCTGAACTCTGCGTGGTTACTCTGAGAACTGATACCCAGCCAGTCCTCACTGCGTCCATTAAGCATGCCGCACTTGGCCTCCCGCCTCCATCGTCACTGCTGAATTTCCCAGGACTTTGATGGAAAACTTCTCTTCCTGCTGTAACAAATCATACCCAAACTGACACGACCACTGGCCTGCACTGATAGAGGCAAGCCTTGAGCTTACAGTAATGTTTGGATCTGAAGCTCTGGGGTCTGTGCTGCTGTTTTTATTCTCTGCCGTGTGAGATGCAGTGCTGATGGTGCAAAATTCATGTTAGTGAAAGAAAAAGGTTAAACCTCTGTGAATATCTTGCCCCCTGCAGAGTGAAAATGAATATTTTATGAGCATATTTCAAAACTGTTCTTTTCCTCTCCATCTTTTTTATCTTCGATGGTGGGACTTGTGGGAGAGGTGCTTTCAGTATCAATGTCCTTTGTTCATATTTTTCTATGTGCAGCCATCTATCCTGTTTACTTTTATAGTTTAACATGTTTATCTCCGTTGTCAACAGTGGAAAAAGACCACAGATAGTTGAACAAACAGAAATGAACAAATAACCATACAAGGCAAAAAAAACACATGCACACACACACACACACACACACACCTATCTTCTGCAATACAATCTAGCAGTCCAGCCGCCCATTTCGGGAACAGACTTGAAGTGCATTGTGCTATGTTATCAGGCTGGACCGAGCACAGCTGGCAGCGGGCAGTTTGTCTGTCAGCCGACAGGTCCATTAGCTCAGGAAGGCGGACAGACAGATGGAGGCTCTGCGGGGTAATGAGCAGAGAAAAACGCTCAAAAACTGCTTCTTCACCAGATATGGCGCCTCCAATTTGAGATGAGAGGCTCACACGCACAAATGGGAACACACACAGTCACACACAGGATCCCCATCTGTTCACACTTTTCAGGTTTAGTGTTAAACTACCCGAGATCAATTGACAGTAAAATAGTCTGGTTCATGCTGGGATTTCGTTTTTGGTTGGACTCTTTTGTTTTTGTCTTAGGTGGCGCTCTTTTTGTCCGTCTGTTCATTTTAGGCAGCTTTTGTGTATCCAAACAAACGTCTGGTGCCTTTTTTGTTGCCATAAGTATAAAATGATGAATTGCTAAATTTGCTCTTGAAGCAGCGCTTTTTATAAAACAATGAATCAACTGACTTTGTGAAATATGAAAGGTATTATTCATAGTGACAATACCCTGCAGCAGAATGATTAGCGTCTTCTAGCTTAATGTTTTGGTTTTAGGACCTGCAACATCAATGTTTCATGTTTTATTTCCAGCCTCAGCAAGCAGCTGTCCATCGAGGAATTTCTGGAAAAACAATGTACACTAAGCACCGACAGACAAAGTTAGCGAACATAGTGGACCATTTAACAGCTATAAGAGCCAGGTCTTTTTCTCAGGAGTTGGTGGAGCAAACAGAGCTAGAAAGGAGAGTGATTATTGGAATGGCAAGTTGTCCAGAAACACACCTCCAAATTACAGCTACTATTACTCTATGTCTGCTAAATATAAATATGTTGGCTAACACATTCACCAAATGAAGTTCATAAGGCGAGAATTTCTCCAAGTTTTGTTTAGAGGTTGTTTTGATGTCCGTACAGCTGAAGGAATGCACACTGCTCTTCCATTATTTTTTTAATTTTTCCTTCATCACATTGTCCCTTACCTCAAATAGTCCTTCTTTTCTTTTTCCGATAATTCACTTACAAAGGAGGCTGTTATCTTGGCCTTGACCGACCTCTCATTCAGTGGTTCCAGGCTCCTCCAGCATCAAGAGCCTCTCAAGGCCAGTGAGCAGCTCTTAGTTAGCTGTAATGGATTGCCGCTACTTGATACTGTTGTTTTCACCCCGAGGCCACAGAGGCAGTTTGCCTTGTGGCCAGTTAACTCATCTCATCCATCAGCCATATTGCCAGTCCACATGGGTGAAGCTTGGGGAGCCACAGAAGACCAGACACACTTCTCTTCATTACTATACAGCGCCACAAAGATGGCAAATTCCCCTGTTGGCTTGCAGAAAAAAAAAAAAAAGCCATTAGTGTGTCTTAAAAAGTCATTCTCGTATCTTTTAACAAAATTCCTCTCCAGGCATTACGCAGGAAGAAGACAAGTTATCATTTAGATTGATTTCAGGGACACAGCAGGCAGGATTCAGATTCAAGGTATTGGTGATGAAACAAGAAAACGCCCACCAGTTTCCTGAGCAGGTGTGAAGAGCACCAGAATGGCGATGCATCTCCCTGTTATTTGTGCTAACACTTTCCCGACAACTTCCTCTCCACCCACAACCCTGTCTTGTTTTAACTTCCTGAGCATCCATGAAGGCCTGATCCCCCTTCTCCCACTCATGTTGACTGTGGATTAAAAGGAACAGATTGCAAAACAACTTAAGCATCTCCACGGTCTATCAGTGTACTGTAAACATGGGCTTCTCCTGCCTATGTGAATGCCAAAAGACTATTTTCAGATTGGACTGCGTGAAAAGTGACAATAGAGAATATGGTGTTGTATTGTATTTGTGTGTATGTGAGCTTTGTTTAATTTGTCGGCCACATCTTCCGTTTTCTTTCTTGTAAACCAAATATGTGTGCTCATGTATTTCTGTGTGTGTGTTTTTTGTCTAGTTGGACCAGAGCCAGCTAGAGAAAGACGTCCTCAAGCTCAACACCTATGTGGCCTTGCACAGCTTCACTGCCCAAGATAGCCATGACCTAGAGATGAGGTTTGTTTACACACACTTGCACATACACGTCACGCAAGGAATCGAGGAATCCCACTCCGACACTCGCTGTCATCAGTGCAGTAGCTGACTTGCCCTGACATGCTTGCAGTGATTTCTTTTTGATACATTTTTGGATGTTTAAAAACTCCTGAAGAAAAGGGAAAACTAAGTAAACAGTGAAAACGAGACACACATATTCAAATTCCTCTCTAAGCATGATTCAACTTCACTGTGAAATTCAATTTAATGCATCTGAATAAAAGAGATTGAGTCCGGTGATGATTAATTCATACACCCAAACATTTCCCCAAAGGTCACCTGCCAGACAATATGTAATACACAAAGAGGTTATGCTCACCTTTAGGCAAACAATCTGTTCCACTTCCTAAATATTGCAGCTACACTTTTTAATGATCATAATAATGTTTAATGATTTAGATAACTTACATCAGTATCAGTATACAGAGTCTTTCAATTACGCAGATAAAGGGGGGGTTACATAATATATTGACTGATTGTATAGAACTGCCATGACTTGCTTGTCCTGTTGCCTTTTGTAGTGTTAACAATCATAAACTTCATGTGATGTAATGTAATTGCTCTAAACTTGCTTTGCATGCTCTGCACACTGGCACATACATTTGTACAGTACACCAAGAGCAAGGCACATAATCACAAACACACAAAGTACCCATGTACATGAGGTGTTTAATTTACGTTTGGAAATGAGATGACATGAAGAGCTGTCTCCTCCTTGTCAATATTCATCTCCTTAGTTCACGCCAGGAAATGTAGTCATCTGTTAATCAGTGTGTCTCTGTTGCTTTCTTTAATCTTATATAATCGTTGTATTCAGAACTCTAAACGTCAAATTACACGAGAATAGATTTATAGGAGGAACTAATTAACGCCCTTGTTTTAGGTAATGGTCCTCAAAGATTTATTTCTCTGGAGTGGCCTCATTAATACTACCTGTGTGTGTGTGCCACTATGGTCTATTAATATCAGTCAATCTCACCTCTTCTTGGAGTTATCCTGAGAGAAACACACAGTCTTTGGAAAGTCCATTTAGAAGTCCATTTATAGCTCCCCGGTAGACAGTGTGCCCGTGGCTAAAATGGGTTATATTATTTTTGAAGGCTGGTGAAAGAAATAATTTTATAATACTTTAGTATGTTTGATTTGTACATAAATAACCATTCAATTAAGAATATGTACAGAAAAACAACAAGTATTTTTAGCTTTTTGGACAAACTAATTATGAAAAAAAGTATTTTGTAATTTCTGAGTCTGAAATATTGTGAATTTCTTACAGCAATGATGTCTCCCATTTACTCTTACTTACCCATCATCACTGGCAGTTATTAAAATTACAAATTAAAGGACCAGTGTGTAGGATTCAGTGGCATCTAGCGGCTAGCAGTTTCAGACTGCAACTAATCGGCGTCTATATTTGACGACCTTGGAATGAGAACGGTTTATCTGGTTTCATTTGTTAACGAACCGCCCCGAACACGTTAACGCCGCTAAAGTAGCCAATTAAGGCAATGTAGTATATATAGTGTAACTACAAGGCTAGGAGTGGGGCTAACCATCTTGGAGTAATGCAGGAGGTTTTCCTGTTCTTCCCCTTCACAGCGGCCATTTCAACATGAAATAATAATTATAATTTAGTATAGCAGAGCCTTTCTAGTGACTCTGTCGGACCTGAATGGAACAGAACCTTAATTAGTATTATTGGTTTGCCCAATATTTTATGTAAAAATGGCTGCTGTGAAAAAAGTCTATTGTGTGAATGCAGCATCAGCGTGGCGTACATATTGTATAGACTCAGTATGATGTATGAACTTGGAAAATAGTGTTGCTGAGTTGCTGCAGCACTGTGCTCTGTGGGTTCAAAATTCAAGCATGTTGAGCTTCTGAACACGCCTCAATTAGTGATGTAACGCCTGTGTTTTGGCTGTTAATGGATAACACCTGTTGTGGCCCAGTCGCTTAAAAGCTGTTGAGAGCTGTGGAGCTGCAGTTTTTCTGTTCCCTGTGATTTCAATTTAATTCACCTTTTCAGACAGAATTTTTACTAAATTACGAAAAAAAAATTGTATATTTGTGCAAGCATTTGACTATATCAACCAACACCTTGCCCCCACATGAGTTTTATGTGCATGTAACCAATAACAGAACAATGATTTAATGCAGCTTTAACCAATATTTTTACGAAATCAATGTATCAAATGACAATGTGAAAACGACATGAATACAATGTGACCATGGGACGAAGGAGTCGTTCGTAGTAATGAACCTAAAGAGAATTATTAGCTGAATCTGCAGTCTGCCTCGACTTTACAGAGCTTTATAGCGAGTTTTCTCTGACTGTTAAGCCGCGCAGCGACTGTTCTGTTTTGGTTCACTCTTAAAGCTTTGTTGTCAGCCACAGCAGGCAGCTGTTTTCAGTGAAAAGGCTCTAAAAAGCCACACACTACCGGCTCGGCACCAAATGGCAGACAGACACCAATTAGGTGGTGAACACAGTGGAGCATTTAGCAGCTAAAGAGTCAGATATTTCCCTCAGGAGTTGGTAAAGACCAAAAACAGAGCCAAAAAAGAGTGAATATCACTCACTTACTCTCATACATTCATCAGGGGGGCCAAAAAGACGACTCCAAGTGAATGATGTTACTCCATAACTACAGGACAAATATGTAACCGTTTGCCATATCAACTTAAAAGGTGATAAAATGTCAACATTGAGTTCACAACTGGCTGCCCCCGAGTGGCCAAAACCCTCCCCAGGTGTTCCAGGTTTAAAGCTGACACAGCTGTATAAGTCCAGTGCCTGTATTATTGTCTCCACTACAATCTGAAACTCAGATTCAGATTTTATTCCATGCCTTAACCATGATTGATAGGGCATCATCTGCAACATACTTTGAAACAGGCCCTCAGGAAAGAGAGCATTCATCACGAGCAGTCCTTCAGCCTAAGTACCCATGTGCTTCAGCTTCTCACAGAAATCCTGCGAGGCTTTAAGGATGTGAGGGTACACTTGTTCTCTCCCTGTGTCTCCTGAACACAAACACACACACACACACACACACACACACACACACACTCGTGGGTCCTCTCTCTTTGGTCGAGAAAAACTTCAATCGCCAGGCTTCATTTAAAATTCATTGACTTCTTGTTTGCGACTCCCTGTCCACTGATACCTACTATACAGCACAAATTTCACCAGGCTTTGTTTCAAACGTCTTTGCTTATGAAAGCCTACATCAGTGTTTCTCTCCTCAGGGCGTTCACTGCAGACAATAATCAATACATCAAACACTTACACATAAAGAACAAATGGGTAGAAAATGGAATCTTTAATCAAAAGGTTCAATTTCCATTTTCATTTTAAGTGAGAAAATCAGGTTTGTGATTAGTTTCAGTCGCCGCCACATGCTCTGATTACATAATTACCTTCGCCTATGTGGTGATTGTAATTATGATGATTTCTGCATTTTTAAAATACAGATGCAGAAAACCCACTGTTCTTTTTTGTCGTTTAATGGACAATGTGTATGTGGAACAACATGTATCTACTTTATTTTCATCACCTTAAAAGATTTTACAACGTTGGGTGCTGTGCTGTTTCTCGCCTACATTAAACAGTGTTTTCTGATTCATGGTGAGTATTACCAAGCAAAGGACAGCCAGTGTTGTAATTGAACCACAACAGGAAGAAACAGGGAAATTACGTAAACCAACATTTGGCTCAACTGTGATGCTCTTTTTGATTTTTTATTGGTCAAATTTAGCCGACAGCTTTGAACAGATGCTAGTAATTATGGCACATGCGGTATGGGGCAAAATGATTCATGCATTTCCTGGATAAAGAAATTACTTACAGCAAACAGGATTAAGGTGCATCAAGTCTCATTTTTAAAAAAAAGAAAAAAAATGCAAACACCTCCTCTTGAGCTCGATTATACAGCATACGTATATAAGAAGGGCCTCTTGAAGACATGGATCAAAGAGGTGGATCTCCTCTCATTGTCGACAGTGCTTACTGAAACTTTTAGGTACTATAAATTTAATTCTCAGGTAAATTACCTCTTGGAAAAATATACTCTACTGCTTTTGTGTTTTGCTTTTGGATAAAAAGACAGAGGCCTCTGAAGTATTTATTTTATTACAACCTAATGCACACAGCTTTAACAATCCACAGCTTGAATGCCCTACAGCCCATTTTCCCCACAGGGCCCTCTACTGGATTTATCCCACCATGCAGATAAGAAGCAAAAAGCTTTACCCTTTTGAGTAATTTCTGCTTTGTTTTGCTTTATATTGCAGAGCTGGAGACAGAATCTTATTGGCGGATGACTCCAATGACGATTGGTGGAAGGTAGGTACAAAACACATATATTACACCTAAGTAGTGACATGGCTCATCTGAAACCTTTTCACAAGTATGTGCTAAAGTGCCAAATTCAATGATAATTTTTGCAAGGTTTCTGTTTTCCGGTTTGCATATAATGCGTGTTTTCAAGAAAGCCCATAAAATGCCCAAATAAGAAATGGATTGATAAATTACAGGAAGTGGAGCTGTAAATTATAGGAGCAAGGCAACAGGCCGCCTCAGGACACAAATGCACGACAGATAAATTATGGAGACAAAAGGGCCAAAACGTGACTGTATAGAGGCAGCCGGCTGCCACCAGACCATGAAGAAACTCATCACGTGTTCTAGCACTGTTGTTGTTCTCTACAGGCTGTAGATAAACAGAGACATCTGGCCTGTTTGGTCTTTGAACAGTGGATACTGGCAATGGAAGTCAAGAGACAAACATTAGCACCCAATGTAACACCTGCATTCAATGTACAGACTACTGTATGTGAAGACTGCGTTGCATCTTCTTTATATATCTGACCTAAAACTTTATACAGGTATTATATACTCTAACCAACAGGACCCCTGTGGTAGGATCTTATCTAGTCATTTATGAAAACACTGGCTTTGTAATCCTCTTATGTACTGTACAGCCCTTCCACCTGTCAACTGTTTTCATGTTTGATTTTTTTTTTTTTTTTTTTTTCAGGGGGGTAATTGAGGACAGGATCGGTTTCTTCCCAGCAGCCTTTGCTCACCTGGTGCAGGCTGGGGACCAAGTGTTCAGGTGTAACAGGACATTCATTGGCTGTAAGGAACAAGGCCAAATCACCCTGAAGGAGGGACAGGTATTGTAAAAACCTTATGATGATAATGATAATTGCGGTGGATAGATATTTTGAATGAATACACAGTATGTTGAGTACAGGCTGTTGTTATCAGGCAAAAAAACATATTATTCAAGTGTTTTTATGACTCCACATAAAGCCAGGCCGGACAAAATGTCTTCCTTAAAATGTTTAATTTAAATCCTAAATGATCCTGCTTCATTATTAAGAGTAATTTATGTCAATGTCTGTATCTGCAACAACTGTGTCTTCTGCTGGTATTTCTTCTTGCTATAATTGGTGTGTTGTTCAGGACATTTTGGGGTATTGACATTGTGACAGTGGGTGTGGGAAACACAATATAAGATGCAAGCAGCAGAGTCCTACCCCAATAAACATTCAGATTAAATCTAATATGGGTAGAATGCATGTGATTATAGAGATTAGATCATAAATGATTGTACATAAATACCGGTGAAAGTTGGTACAGTGTTTTGTTGCTCACAACCCATCCATGCCAGGGTGTGCATGCCAGAGGTCTACCCTGACCCGGGGGCTCAGTCAGGGGCAAGGTCCAAATAATACTTGTACTCGTACTGTGTCATAATCATCACAGGAGAAGAATGTATTTTTTTGATGTGAGATGGTGAAGTGCAGTGTGTCTTTACACAGTTTGATGGCAAAGTTTGACTGAAATAATCCTAATTGTACACAGAGTGGCTTTAAAAGATAACTTCTGTGATTAAAGTCTTTCAAAACCTGCCAGATGACGCCGAGCAATCAAGCTAATAAGAAGGCTTGTTTTCTTAGTTTACGATTAACAACTTTTACAAGATACAAAACTTCCACTAGAAAGTAGTGGTACGATTGTTGCCCGGGTTAATTGCCTGCCCTTGAAGCCACAAAGGCAAAACACATGAAGCATTCATTTAGACCAAACATTAGCAGGGTCGATCCCATGAACACCGTCGTCACAATGACTCGGGGGAAGCGATGACCTTTATCACAGACAATAAAATTTCCACATTACACCTGTGTCTAATTCATGATCACACCCCGGCCATTAGAGCACATCAGATTCACATTATCCAGCAGCTCTGTAGCCATCTTATTACTCTCCTGCAGTTCCCACATCGCCTCTTACCTCCAGCGACTCTTCCCTCAAATGCAACTACTCACTGAAAAGCTCAACTGGAGTTGGCCAACAGAGGATCCCTCTCAACGTCTACCATTAAATTAGCATTTTGGCATAATGGCCATAGTTAGATCAGGCCCCCTTTTTCCCACAATGCTTTCCAGGGCATGTTGGGACTCAGAAGAGGCTTAAAGCAAGCAACCCCCAGCGGAGATGAAACCACCGCAAACATGATGAGTCCATGACCCGCTGCCTTTCTTTTCCAGTCTCATAAACCCAGGGGAAGATATTGTAGAATACTTAGAGCGAGCATGCAAACACAATGTGATCTGGTCCCTTGTGAGGGTCAATGAGTGAAATTAATGATAATAGTAAATGAAGCAATGCTCTACAGTCCAGCTGGGCAGTACATTTGGTGATATGAGACTTTCAAAATAAATCAAACTTTGCTTGTATAGCTCCTTTCATGCAAGTGCTTTTTACATATAAGGGTAAATAAAAACTAGACTACCATCAGTTACTTACATATTGAAATATTTGGTCAAATGTTATGTTTTTACTGTACCATATTCTTAATTGTTTTCACATTAAAGTCACATTTCCCTTTTACCTCAGATCTGTGTGAGCAGCGAGGGCGAACGCAGCGGCTTCATCAGAGTGGCAAGTGGAAAGAAGAGAGGCTTCGTGCCCTGTGACGTTCTGGAAATCATCTGAGTGAAATAAAACACTCAGAGAAATGAAGAGAGAGAGAGATAAAGAGAGAGAGAGAGAGAGAGAGAGAGAGAGAGAGAGAGAGAGAGAGAGAGGTAAGATCAGCCGTCTGGTGGTCAGTAAACTGAACCTACAAAATGGCTACGAGACACCTGTGAGGGACATCGCCTCATCAGAAATTTGGAGCTCTGAGTCTCTGTACCTTCCTCACTCCCTGTAAACACACAAGAGATGCTGAGACGACAGATTGTTTGTTGTTTGCAGGGAGACAGGAGATCTGTTTCACTGGATTTGAATTAATTTATAGAGCCGATGTGTGTGCGTTTTTACCCCTATTAGTTTTATTCTTTTACAAGCTTTTTATGTTTTGAAAGTGGAGCTGCTGGGTGGCTGTTTAAGCCAAAGAAAAATGAAACCCTTAAACACTTTAGTTTAGATCCTCGTGCTTTTTACATTATGTTCCAAGAAAAAAAAGAGCTTTTAATGCAAGTTAGTCAGCAATAGAACCAACTCCCTGACATGAGAAAGTGATGAAAATTGGACTTGAATAAACCACGTATACATTCAAATAAGAACTTTTACTTTCTTTGAACCCTCTAATCAGAAGAACACTTTCTGTATAGCCTCTAGCGTACAGTACAGACCGTGACAGAACTAAAACGCAGGTGAGAAACAGTGGATGCAACAAAGAGATGTGGGCGAGTATTTTCAGAGGATCAATCAAAGACTTCAGAAACTCTCAGTGGTCCTTCTGAAATATCGCCCTCATACTCCCTCGGTTTACTCATCGCAATCCAGGGTTTTACTTAATGATGACAGTAATGCACATTTGTATCATCACTTGAATCAGAAACTCTAAAAAAAATCTGTGTATCACACAAAAGTTGTTGTTTACCAAATTTAACATTTTGCATTGTCTCTATGTTACAGAACCTATAAGATTTATCTTTTAAAGCTTAAAAAAATGTTTTGGTTGTTTTATCAAATGGTTTAATTTTCTCTCTTTTCGTCAAAGATTTCACAGCTTCATTGCTATTAAATAGAAGTGAATGAGAAGGTACAGCTACTATATGATCAGGATGTTAATGATTTAATGATCTGAGCTAATGTGAACACAATGGCGCCTGTAAGACAATGAAACATGTAAGACAATGATACATTTCTGGTTAGCGTGTTAACTTTAAATGTAATCACTCTTGTGTGTCGTCTTTCTCGGCGCGGACTGTTTCGAACAGCACGTCTCGTTCAGATTCTAGTCAAGTGCAAAGGTGTTGCATAATAGTAGATATAGTATATCTCTTACAGGTTGTTCTGCACTGAAACTTGGCTTTAATGAATGTCCAAGAATTCTATATTGTACATACTGTACATACAAGATTAAAATTTCTTCTTTATCACAACCAAAAGTGTATTGTGAGGATTTTGTGGTCTTTCACGTCTTTTCATCATTTGTAACACATTAATTATATAATATATACCTAATGTTTCATCTGTCTCATCCTAAATTCTTCCATCTGTCATAATGATTCCTGAATTTCTATCATGGTTCACTGTCCTCTCATACTCATTAATTAGCCATCGATAATAAGCTCATCATTCGCTCAAGTGGGCCCCCAAAAAGATTATGCATCATGCAATTATGCATATTATTATGTGATTTAGTTGCCAGTGAAAACAACTGGGATTGTGACTCAGTTATTCTGAGCTTGAAACGTCTTTGAGAATCTGATCTTCTTTTTTACAGCAATAAAGTGGTAAAGACTGAATTTGAGACGTGAAGAAACATTTTGCTATGAAACACAGAGATGCCTTTAAAGTTTTACGTCTCTGGTTTTCCATGATTTGTGGGATTTTTTGATTTTTTTTATGTGAAATCAAACTGAATTTCTCAAATGAGGTAGTGCATCGTGCACTTTCTGAACAAAACAGCTGGACAGAGGAGTTTGACCTTAATACATTCTCGATTACTGTACATAGCCAATGCTGTCAGGATTTAATATTCATCAAAATAGCACGCAAGGATCATGTCTTAATATTTGAAAAAGGTTTTTGAAACTCCACTATGAGCCTGTGCTCATAATGCTACTTCTATACAGGGCATTACGAATGCATTAGAGCACATCCTTATGCAACAAAGAACTCAAAGATTGCATGTGTCCAAAACATAAAACATGAAGCAAAATGAGATCAAGCAACTTGCATGAATGCTGTGTGGCATCACTATACTGTACATAAATGAAATGTACTGTAATTACTTACTAGGATTAATAAATATAATAATCCATAACAACCCTCAAAATGTGCACATGCAATAGACACAATGTACTAGTAAACCTAATGTAAGGGTCCAGTGTGTAGGATTTAGTTGTATCTAGCAGTGTAGTTGCAGATTCCAACTCTGTCTCTTCAGCCTCCCCTTCCAAGCACAAAGGAGAAACTACAGTGGCCTATATAGAGCCAGTGTTTGGTTTGTCTCTTCTGGGCTACTGTAGAAACTTGGTGGTTCAGCATGGCAGCTGCCACGGAAGGATCCATGGTCAGTAGATAAAAAAGGCTCATTCTAAAGTAACAAAAATACAAAGATTCCTGTATTCAGGTGATTTTACAATAATGAAATATAAATATGAATTTTATATTTCATTTCTGGCAATAGATCCTCCTAAATGTTACACACTGGACCTTTAAAGTTAAAACATCCCCAAATTAAAAAAAAATATCAATCAAAAATTAACTCTGTTTCACATTCTCAACATCAAGCTGAACTTTTATGCTAAAATGGATGAAAAGTCCAGTTTTCAGAATAATGGAGAGTTAGTTATCATGTTTGGATTGTCTTTGATTGTTTTTAATGTGTATTGTTTTATTGTGTGTAATAATGATGAAGTTAATCAAATTCAATCAAATGTGAACATTTACGGTCCCATCAAAACACAAACGTGTTGTTACAGCCTGTTATAAAAGCGAGGTCATTCAGGATGGCTTTGCAGAGTCACTAATTTGGGCACATACATACTGAGTAAACAATTTTTGAACCTTAAATCTATATTTTGACACAAATCTAGATTTAGAACATATGTCATAATTTTCACTTCACCTGTTGTTTCCAGGCCACTTTCTCATCTTTTCATCTTACAGTTCAGTAAGTCTTGCTGATTTACCCCATTTGATCTCTCTCTCTCACTCTGCACACCCTGCAGTCCACCATGAGAGAGATTGTTTCACTGCAGATGCAGATGTTTCAGCAGCTCCATTAAGCAACTGCTCACATGTTTAAAATGTTGCTGCAGGCGCAGGCCATCTATAGAAATTGAGACAATCACAAACACTTTGCTATTTCAGTGTCTGCCCATTTTCCTATTCTGGGTCTGTGTAATGACACGCAGCAGGCCGTCACTGCAGGTTTCCAGCCGCTCCAACATACTTGAGTCTGGCACCACCTGTTGGTTTATCAGAGTGACTTAGGCTATAACAGTCCAGTAGTAACATCCTCTCACCCACTGAGAAACATATAAGTGAACAAAGCTTCAAATAAATCAGGGGGGATGAAGTTCACACTTGCTGAGGTGTCTGAAATAAAATCTCTGTTCACCATTCAAATTAGTTTTGATTCCTTCCTCCAACAGCCGGACTTGAGTATTATTTCTACTGTGTAAAAACTCAGACTAAAGCAGCAATAATCAATATTTTTTATATGAATTAAAATTATATTATCACCCAATTCTCCACTTCCCTGCAGCTCTAGAGAGCTTTATATCATTCTGCAAGTCATATTTCCTGAAACATTCACTATATCCTTAAAGGTGGATGAGACCATGAGACAGATTATCTGCTCCTAAAGGCATTTGCAGGAATCCACTGCACCTGGACAAAAACAACCAGTCAGAGCCAACAGAAAGAAAGTTGATTGCTGAGTTTCATTCCCACATGGTCAAATACCAAAAGCTACCTGGCGCACCTTTGGTCTATGGGGCAGATGCTCAGATATTTAAAATATCTTTAAAGATCCATTTTGAATGGGAGCAATGTTCTTTTAGGGTTTAAACTGTTTAAGGAAACATGATTTGATGTTCCTGCATGTATTTATAAAAACATGAGACACAAATCTACTTATTAAAACAATTACATTCAAACAACCTGTTCTTTCACATTGCTGATAGGACAAAATTGTATTCTTTCAAAACAGATAAAACTAGCAATGCTTGTCTGGATTGTTTGAAGACCTGGAACTACTCTTCCAACAAATGCATTTAGTAGAAAATTGAGTGTTTGTGAAAGAGCGATAGTGTGAACTGTGAGTGTGAGAGGTTTCAGTAAGTGTGAAGCAGGAAGGAGACACCTTCTAGTTGTTGGTGTGTTTGTGTGTGTTTCACTCAGCTCAGAAAACCAACAGAGAAACTGCAAACAAAAGAGGAACAAACTCTATTCTGTGTAAATGTTTCGGTGAATCCCCCCAGTGACAGTAATGACGTCCACAATGAATTTGGACATAAGAAAGTCACACAACAGTTTAGCATTTAAAGAAGATTAAAAGATCATCAATTCAAAATAAAAATAAAAAGGGTTGGGGAAGTTTTTTTTTTTTTTTAGCATCATGTGATGTCTTTGCACTTCTTGCTCAGTACACAAATACACAAAAGCACATTGTGTTCTCATGCACATCTGGGCGGAGTATCCCCTACAAGCATGTTTCTCAATTGCGGTAAGGCCAAGGTTAGCGGCTTTTTGCACATGAAGCAGTTCTTTAGGTTAGAGTAAAGCAGAATTTATACTTCATCAGGGTATTTGCAGGAAGCATTAACACTTCAACTGGTCACTTAAAATAGCATACAATATATTGGGAGTTTTGTGGTGAATCAGGTGGTCTTTCAGTAATCACTATATGTGGTTTTCCATTGAACTCACCAGCAAGAAGAGCTCACACTACTATAAATGAAATGAATGCAACGTCATCAGAAAAGTTGTATCACCTCTCTGGAGCAAGTTTTAAGTCCCGGAAAGTTAATGTCATAAAACTTGATGACTACAGACTGGGGGCTGCTTTAAACACTGCAGTGTAGTTTTGGAAATCATTGCCAGTACTGTGAAGTCATGGTGTCTTGTAGGTAAATGACTGAAACATGCAACAACAAAAAAAAGTTCTTTCAAGAGCAAGGGAAAAGGTGATTTGAGTAATCACGATTGAAGCCGACCACTACTAGAACAAGAAACTGTCTGATTCCCAAAGTGTGCTTCTGCCCATGAAATTACTCATGGTCATTTGGTGCTTTTGACTTTACTTTACGATTGATAATAATCACAACTTCCCAGACCTAACAAAAGACAGGGATTACACTAACTTATTTTTTATTTAAAGGGACATTGTGTAGTGTTTTAAGTATTTTGTTAGCTAAAATCAATGTCTTCATTCATAAATGTGTCCTCATTGGTGTAAAATTACCTCTGCCAATGATCTGACTTATCCTCGTAAGCAAAGAATTTCTTATCTGTATATACATTGGACGGGCAAGTCCATGGAGGCTTCCATGTCGTTCCACCATTTTGAAAAACTATAATCGCCGAGAGGGACATAAAGCACTAGCCTACCTGTCTAGCTAATCCAAAACGCGCTTTCATTTAGAGCCAGCGTCACATGACTGAAACCAGCTATAACGGAGAAGGAGATCAGTGAGAGGCGCTTGTCACTGCCCCGGCACATTTGAAAGTCTGCACTGCACTTTAGTTAATAATGGAGGATCATACTTATGCCGGGCCACAGGAGAAGGAATCCTCGTCACCAAAGAAGCCAAAAAGGGAATTAAAAAGGCAACGTGACCGGCGAATTCAAAAAACGAGGGTAAACATCGGGGTAGCTTTTCTCAGGTGGAAAGAGCTAATGAAGGAGTAAGACTTTCAAAGGGAGGCTGAAGTTGCCTGCTTTCTCCTCGACAGGTAGGCTTCTTGGTACATAACGGCTACCGTAGTTGCAATACGCATTTGAAAATGCGAGGCACTAGAGAGCACTATTCATTTGAATGCAAAATACAATTTCACCGCTAGATGGGAGAAATTCCTACACAATGTCCCTTTAAATTAAGGATGAGGAACCCGTATTAACTACTTTATGTTAATTCAAATATGCATTTCACACCTCCCATGCATAAGAAATGTCGTATTACTTTGCACTGATATGGATTAATGTTACATTTTCTTTCACCAGTGTCCTCAAGTGTGTTACAGATTTTGAAGGGCATGGGAGAAAGTTAAGATGGCTCTTATTATCTCTTTTAAACAGTATTTTTATATACTTTAGGCTGTGTACGTGATACACGATGGGTACAACATAGAAAAATGCAGTGTTTGACTTTTGCAAGTAACAGTCTTGTGGTAAATTAACTGCTGATACATGTTGTTGAAAAGCAAATAACAGAAGCTGACAGTATAAAAAGCCACAGGAGCGGCTGAAAACAACCATGAGTCCTGCCTTCAGCATCGCTCTTCTCCTGCTCTTCACAAGTAAGACAGTAACATTATTTCCCCCATGTGCCTGATAATAAAATCATTAAACATAATCTTTTTTCAGCTGTTGTTAAGACTGTGGAGGACTGGACTGAAGAGGAGAAAGATTTTCCATCCCAGTTGAAGGAGGAGAGAGCTGACCATCATGCAGAGGAGGTGAGATACCATGACACATAAACATGTGAAGCATTTAGTTTGTGTGAAGGAAAACTTAATTCATAAAACTTGTTCTGTATCAGATACTGCAAGATGGAGATCTCTGTAGTAGCTGTAAGTCGCTTGTCTCCCAGGTGAAGAAGAAGATGGACAATAACACCTGTAAGGTACAAAATATAACGTAGTATCACAAAGTACATTCAGAGCCTTACCACAGCCATTGAGCCTCTTTAACAACTAACAACATTCATGTTCACTCTTTGTTTTCACTTGCACTTTAATTTAGTTGGAGCACCCAAAAAGTGATGATAGAAAAGGTTTAGTATTTTAGCAAGTTTTATGGATATAATTCAAAATTTGGGATTTGGGTTGCAATAGTAAAGGTTTATGTTCCTTAAGAATAACAATTATTGTAAATATTGTGTAAGTAATGCTGTTTAGGACCCTCAAATCAGTTGTGTGTTAAATGATTACATTTGCAGGATAAAGTTGCAAAGCTGGTGGACAATGTCTGCAGTCAAGAGAAGAATGAACAGGTGAAGGAGGCCTGCAAGAAGATCATTGGAAAGATCAAAGACAAACTGAGTGAGGCCATAGCCGACAAGGCAGATCCAGAATCTGCGTGTAAAAAAGTAAAACTGTGCCAGAAAAAGCCACCTCCCCATACACTGTAGTAGATGTACTGAAGTGTACCAGTGATGTTTCATTTGAATTGTAACATTTCTATGTGCATGTTGCCCTGTTCTTGCCTTTGGAATAAAGATTTGAAGCTGTTTATTTCCATATCCATGCAGTGTTTATTCCTCACAATACACATTTGACTTTAAAGACACTTAAAGTAACTTCAGTCTAATGAAATAGAAGCTACATTAGAAACCTACAAATAAAACAACAAAGGATAAAAAATGTACCCATTCTATATTTAAAACAACTGTAACTTGGTAAATCTGCAACACAAATCAATATATTGAACAGGGTATAATGGAGCTCAAAACCTTTTTTCAATAAACTCCAGGGGTATAAGCTCAAGTCAGAACTTCAAAGCAGCAGGTTCCCATGTAGATTTTTTAACATACATTTATATTTACAGTTGATTGGGAACAATATACTTTTAGGGTTTAATTTTCAAAAGGAACAGAGGATGTTCCAGGTGTTTATATATAAGAACGTAACTCACACTACACATCGATACTTGCAGTCTTTCAGTTTCACATAGATTGTCTGATGTGTTTGAAATGTTTCAAAATCCAGAATCTGGCAATTGATTTTGAGATATTTTAGATATCAGATGAATTAATGAATATAAATTACTGGCTACAAAAAAAGACAAAATAAAATCAAGTCTAACCCCAACACTATTCTCATCACAGTTTCCCACTGCACCTCACTTGCAGAATACTTTTGCACACACAACCACCAAAAACCAGTTCCCACTTAGCTCAAAACAGCTCACAACAAGTGCATTTAACTTCACTCTGGACCACTGAGTCACAGATACAGCCCACAGCCTGAGCTTTTTTACTGTCAGGCCTCTTGAAATGTGTAATAAGTCTTGTGGTCATTCATCATTACCATACTTACAAGACTGTGTGGATGTCTGGAAAAAAGTCACATGACTTTGCATTTGTGTTCATCTCTTTCCCAACAGTGTCTTTGGATTCTAGGGTACCAAACTGGGATTTTAAAGAAGATGGAAGGAGTACATTATCACGTCAGCTTGAGAATGCAACAACACATACTGTGTACCCTGACTCATATGGTGAGTTGAGTAAGATATTATGTTAGTAAAGTAACTGGATTATTGAGGTATAAAATAAAACATATCTGCATGTGTTTCCAAAAAAAGAAGATTTTACATATGGGGTTTGTAAAAAATTTTTTAAAAATGCAGCAGTTTGCACTTGTGGCAAGTAAGGTGCTGATCCATGCGTTTGACAAACAAATAGCAGAAGCTATAAAACGCATATATAAAAAGCCACCAAAAGAGCAGCTGAAGACACCTCTGATGAAACAGTGAGAACAAACATGAGTCCCGCCATCAGCATCGCTCTTCTCCTGCTCTCTGCAAGTAAGATAGCAACATTATTTACTCGATCTTCCCTTTTAATTTAATTATTTAATTATTTTCTGGACCCTAATTTTCTTTCAGCTGTTGTCAAGTCGTGGACATCTCTGGAGGTCAAAACTGTAGGGGATGATTTTCCACCTCAGTTAAAACATGATGTGAAGGAGTCGGCAGACCACCAAACAGAGGAGGTGAGAAACTATGACACATACAGAACCTGATGAATACAAGTTGAAACATCAGCCCTTTACTTTTATTTAGACATGCTGTGTGAACATGCCTTTTTATGACTGACTCACCAACACGTTTACTTACATTAAAACGTTTTCTTTTCTTTCATTTTTTGTATGTAAAACCTTTTATTAAACCCAATATTGCAGGATAGAGTTTTCCCAGGTTCATGTACTGCCTGTAAGTTCATTGTGTCCAAAGTAAAGAAGCATTTGGGCAGCGATCATTCAAAGGTAATGAATACAAAATATACTTTAAAATAATATACTATATTCAGAGCCTGACTGAGCCTCTCAGAACAAGTTAAAAATATGAATTCTCACTGGGCTCTTGTGTTCACATTTCCCTATAACTGAATTATTGAATTACCCCGCAGAGTCCTTCATTTTGCTTAATTCTTGCAGACACACAATTTTTGTTTAGAGGCTCTTTAACTTTCCTTACCCCAGATATGCATGGTACAAAGTCAGTTTTCAGTTTGTCAGATTAACAATATAACGCTACCAGAAACCCCAAATAACCCAACCTCTACCCTAAAGAAAAATGATACAGATACCTATAAAAATGTATAAATAGGGTGATAATCACTCAAAATATTGAATATAGAAGAGTTCAAGATTTAAAAATATAGTTTATTAGTTATATACACAAATGCAGCAGAAAAATAACAAAATAAAACTAAACAGTCGTTAGATGTGAAGTGATTTTTAATGCATTTCATGGAAAGTCTATAAATGCGGTAAATCACTAAAAATATTCCTTCAAAGTTGTAGAATCTTTTTCTTTTAGAAATAAACGAGCACTTGAGAAATGAATTATGACGTATAAATAAATGATCAAAGAGGCACTGTCTACAGAAAAAATATTAGCGATAACAGACTTTGTTTTAGTTGTAAATCAACCCACATTTTCTGGTGGGTTGAAGTTGAAGGTTGAGTTTTAACATTGAGTAATTATAATTTGATCCATTATAGTAATTTCAGTGCAGTTATTTATCTGCCTTTATTTCTTTGTGGAGGACAATCTGAGTAGTACATGGACCCATACCATCAGAAAGTATATATTGTGTTAGAAGTGTTGATTCTTAGGATTTGCCTATATTTGTATGCTGAATAAGACCAACATCACCATTAATGAGTAAAAAACGTGTGTCAAATATTTCATTTGTGTTTACTTAAAGAAAAGAATCGAAGAGCTGCTGAACAGGGCCTGCAATGGAGTGAAAATAATCTTAAGATCTGCCTGCAAGTCGATCGTCAACAAGTTCCAACAAAAACTGATCAACGCCTTAACAAAGCTAAAGAGTCCCAGGGAAATATGTGTTTATCTGAAACTCTGCAAGAAGAATGAACCTTCATAGATATAACATATAATGCATCTACATCAAGTGTACTAGCAATGTTTCTGACTGTTTCTGTGTGCATATTGGGTTTTTTTTGCCTTTGTAATAAAGCTTTTCTGAAGTGGTTGTATTTCCATGTGCAGTGATGTAATTCTTCTCATACTCTTTGGTTTTTTTCTCTCACACAGCTGATAAAAGCGGAGAGAGTTTAATGGGTAAAACCATGAGGTAGAAGTTACAGGAGCTTAGTGGAAACACAGTCTGAAGTTCAGAAGTCATGCTGTAGATTATTTTTAAAGCATTTTGAAGAATTACTGGAATGAATTAGTAAAGAAGTAAAACTGTGGCATAACCTGACAGTAAAGGTCACCAATGTTCAAAGTCCTAGTCTATTCAACGTCAGGTTTATGCTACTGTAGATTTATAACCTACAAATAAAATCATTACATTTACTCTTGTTTCCCCTTCTTATTCAAAGCTATAAAGTGGTAAATTCATTGTTACTGTAAAGTTTGAGAATCCAGCTTAGAAATTTCCTGTGGTACACATCAAACACACATTTACAGCTGCTGGTCGTCTGATTTTGTTACATTTGAACGGAGCCTTATGCTAAGCTAACTGGTCAACCAGCTGCTATCTGTAGCTTCATATTTACCACACATACATGACAGTATCAATCTTCTCAGTTCTTTTAACTCAAGGTCCACTTACTAGATTTGTTCTGGCTGATGATAGGCCAAGAAATTCCGTAAGTAGACCTTTGAGTTAAACCAGCAGCATTGCTCCAGGGGATGGCAATTTCAACCTGTCCATCAGCCCCGTGGATGTATTAAGACAGAGGTCGGTCCTCTATTTTGGTAAAGATTGAAATATCTCAAAATATATTTGAATTAATTACCATGAAACCTGGTTTAAAATTTGGTCAAAATCTGTGTTCTTGTGGGCAGCACCCACTTTATACCCTTTGGTTTCATACTAAAAAACCTTCACAACTAAGGACATTCCCCTCAGCCACAGCCATGCTTTGTGTTTAGTGCAAGTAGGCAAATGTTAGCATTTTCATGTAAGCCTGTTAGCTGACATTAGCATTTAGCTCAATTACTGCGACTACAGAGCTGCTATGATGGTGGGAGTTTGTTACACTACTTTGCAAGTTGTGAACTCACAACTTAAGGTCACATAGAGGTCACAAACTGGGTGCTTTTATTGTCTTTAATCAATAGTGACAGCTGAAGAATGACAGGAAAGAGATAGGGGATGACACGCAGCAGAGGGCCACAGGTCGGAGCTGAACCCATGGCTGCTGCAGCAACGACTCCAGCTCCAGCTCCACCAGGAGACCTACTTGGGCACCCCATAATGAAATATTTCAACAATATTTGAAACATCAAAATACCTCAAACAACTTTGCATTAAACATTTAAATCCAAATGAGCTTATAGCTGAGGAAAAACCATCGTCCTCATCTGTTTGAGGACAACACACATGAACTGCTTAGTAATGCTTTGTTCAATTTGAAAATAAAGATTTTAAGCTTAAACACACAGATAACAGAACTTTGTGGCACAAACTGTGGCTCCAACACACTATTTCCTGTGCATTAACTGGAACAGATGAGTAATAAGATGAGTAGGTCATGTGAAGGTGGTCTCCACAAAACCACTTATTTTCTATACTGTGACCACACAATTTTTGTGGTTTGAATTTCTGTCTGTGGAAGCTTGCAGGAGTGTTGCAGTGTAGCCCCTCACTGCTGCTGGGTATAAAAGGTGTTTGTTACAACAGATGCACATACTCACCGCTCACTGCCAACAATGGAAACCTCTTCGGTCCTCCTTGTGTGCATCCTGGTTACATGTTCTGGTGGGCTACATCATTTTTGGATTCTATAACAATCCTCTTTATCCTGTAATTTATCATTTATAACTTTAACATGTATTTGTATTTTTTCTCTTCACAGTCTGGACAGTCCATGGGAGAAACATAAAGGTCAAGACTGATGATCAGGTGGACGTGCAAATCTCTGTGGAGGCCGGCAAGGTAATGTGGCTGCTTTAGTATATTCATATTCAGATATCAGATGATAAAATGTAAAAGTTAAAGTCCTGCATGCAAAGTCCTTGTAAGTAAAAATATAGAAGGAGATTTATTTAGAAGTACTTAATCAGTAGAAAGAACTGTCATTCACATATTAGTACTGATTCAACAACGTGTAAGTAGCATGAAAGATACTGCAGTAAATTCCACTGCCAGTTATATACATACATATACTCACGCAAGAAACTGAATAGCTTTGTCTTTGACATTTTATTTTATTTTTATGGAAACAAGTTGTTCAATCAAAACAGTTAACCAGAAAATAATAAAGTAGAAATAAATAATACAAGAAATGTAATATAAATAGCCTACACAAAGTATAAAATTTAACTACCTGCGAAATAAAAACTGTAAACAAGTGATGAATAAATGAAAAACCTAAGAGATGCATTACTTTCACTGTACTGTACATGAACAATATACAGTGCAATTTTTTCTGACATGCAAATTAGATTAGATTTAATCTTATTGTCATTACAGTGAAATGCTGATTAGCAGAATGCAAAGAAGCAGTAAACTGCAGTATAGTATAACACATGGTAATGTATTAACATTAATGATGTGCACTTTAACATGGATGTAAAGTCTAACACTATAAACACACTTTAGACAATACTAAACTGTAACACAACAAACAACAAGGCTTCAACAAGTTTTGGTCGTTTTGACATTGTTAATGGTTTCTGGGGTCACGTCAGAAAACTCAACCATCTCTCAGAGACAAAAGGGCTAAAGTGCCCTCTACAGTGGTGTGGACGCTATATGTGCCCTTTTTTTCTTTCCGCCCCTCAGAGAGCAGGTAGAGTCTAATCAGTCAGAGGAGGAGGGGGGGCGGGGGGCTTTATAAAGTCTTATTATTATTTAATAGGCTTTGCTAGGCAGTTAAATTAATGTGGGTTTATTTTCATACTAAGAAATAATAGCACCAACTAGTTTTAGTATAAAAATATTGAAAGTTGCACCTTTTGTTTTTTTTTTCTTCCCCCCCTTAGCATTTGCCTATACTGCCTATGCTACTGGCCGGCACTGACAATATATGTCACTTTAATCTGCCTTTTCTTTAATCTGCAGCTTCCAGGTTTGTGCTGGGCGTGCAAGTGGGCTTTAAAAAAGGTGAAGAAAGTCATGGGACCGAACGCTACTGCAGAGGTAAAATAAAATGTGTAAAAGATTGGTTATGGAAGGAACTATGGAAGGAACATTGATGTCATTTCTACTCTTACAGAACATGACTCCAAAGCTGTTGGCCGTCTGCGACCAAATCGGCCTCCTGAAAAGTTTGTGCCGCAAATTTGTGAAGAAACACCTCGGGGAATTAATCGAGGAGCTCACCACCACTGATGATGTGAAGACAATCTGTGTCAACACTGGAGCCTGCAAGTGAGTCACCAGCCCGCCTTTATATTGTTTAACCAACAATATGACCTAAAATATATACACAACATTAATTACTCATGATTTAGCAACAACAATAATAGATATAAATACTCTTTCTTTAAACACATATTCCCCAGTTGTATAAGTATTTATATATATAGTCTAAATGTAAACATTTGAGGGGATAATATACTTTTTACCTCACTACATTTCTCTATATAGTTTGTTTGATGATTTTAGATACAATAAGTTTGTTACATATAATACAGTTATAGATTGAATTACCCAACACAATATGAAGTAATTAAAATGAGCTACATCTATAGCTCTATGATCATACAATGGTATGTTAAATACAATACTGGTAGGGGCCATTCTGAACGTACTCTGTACGTACTTCTTCCACCACTGATACTC